AAAAAATAAAAAAAAAAAAAAAAAGTCTTCTGGTACAGCTTTTTCTCTGTACTCATGCCCCTTTCAGCCACTTCTTAATATTGTATGCTCCTCCAACTCACCCTGGGGACCAGAAGCTTCAGTCTTTGTTGTTTGGATTTTGAGCGTTTTTTGAGACAGGGTCTCCCTATGTAGCCCAGGTGGTCCTTGAACTCACTATGTAACCCAGACTGGCCTAAACTCGCAGTGATCCTCCTGCCTCAGCCTCCCAAGTGCTGGGATTACAGGCGTGCGCCATCACCCCTGGCTGAACCCTCTGTTATACTTTCTCTTTTTCTCTCACTGATGTCTTCTGATCATCAAGTCATATAACTTCACTGGTTTCTTGAATCTTTCCTTTTCCCTCCATTCCCATCACAACTGGCATGATGCAAGTCACCAGCATCTCTCAAACTCCCGCCTCGCATTGCTGCTCCACTCCTGTCTTCCTATAAACCTTTTGCTGCATGGAGCTACAACAAGCTCTTGGAGATGCAAATCTGATGCCACCACCCGGGACCACACCCTATCCTGGCTCCACGCGGTTCTCAGAGAAACTTCAAACACCTTTTCTGGGTTTTTAATGCCTTATACAGTCTTTCCCCTGCCTTCCTTTCTATTCTTCTCTTTCTTCCCTCTTTGATTCATTTAATCATATGTATCAGGTGCCGGCTATGTGCCTTCCATTCCCCATGTTTTGCAGCCACTAGCAGCCCCTGCCCTACCCAAGGCTCTCCTCCTACCCTGGCTGGGTCATGTGCTTGCCACTGTTTACCTGCAATGCCCACCCCTTCTTCACCTATTTGTCACTGAAGAAGCAGCTCAAATTCAATAGAAAAAATTGACGAAGGTCACAAATGGGCAGTTAACAGAGTAAAAAATACTAACTGCCGACGAACCATACAAAAAGATGTTCGACCTGATTCGTAACTAAGGAAGTTCAAAACAAGGATTTGATTCCTTTTTATCACTTCCTGTTCTTGCTTTCCTTCTTGTGCTTTGGTAGGCCCTGAAACTACATTTTTCAGCATCACAATTTGAGGATGCCTCCATGAGCCCGACCATTTAACTTCCACTATGAGCAGAGACTGCCACTGATTTGTGGAAATAAATATTTGCTGATTTAAGCCACTTAAATTTTGGGATTAGTGTTACCACAGTACACCTAGACTATTCTGGTTAATGCACCCTAGATACACCTACTTTACAAACGAAGGATACAAGACTCAGAAAGGATAAATAATTTGCTAAAGGCTGCACAGCCTTGAACACAGGCAATCTGAAACCAGAGAGTGTATTTTCAACATCCATATTACACTGCCTCTTGGATATATGTGTGTGTGTGCGTGTGTGTGGTATGTGTGTGTGTGTGTGTGTGTGCGTATATGTGTATGCATCTCTACATAATCTCCATCACTTCTGGCTATATGTACAAAAAGAAAACATTAACAGTGGTTATCTCTGAGGAGTGAGATTGGGATCTGCATAGAGGAAGGAGAGATGTCAGGCCTTCGTGGGTCATGGCTCACAGTGGCCTTCAACAAATGATCATTCTTCTCTCCCAGTGCAGTGTCAGATCTTAGGCCTTGGGGACTCGGCTGTTGTATGAGAACAAAGGTGCAGTAATGGGGGGGGGGAAGGATGGTAACAAGCCAAATCTGGGGACAGTATAAAAACTCCCCAAAGACAATACAAGGCTGAGGATGTGGCTCAGTTGTAGGGCTCCAGCCTACCTACCATACATAATACCTTGGGTTTGATTTCCAGCACTGCAAAGAAAGGAAGAAAAGACAATACAGGTTCAGCACTTTCAGTCTGAAAATCCAAACTCCAATATATTCCAAAATCTTCAACTTTTTGAGACCTGACATGATACCACATGTAGAAAATTCCACACCTCACTTCATGAGACCATCACAATCAAAGTGAAGTTCTATTAGAAATACTGCATACCAAGACCTGTCATGTAAAGGTACAAGATCCTAATAATGAATGTGATTGTACTGTATACCTAAAATGTACCAATAAACTCAATGAGAAAAAAAAGAAATATGGCATAAAATTCCCTCCAGACTGTGTGTACACAGTGTAGATGAAACATAAATTTCACCTCTAATCTCGGGTCCCACCCCCAAGATATCACATGCTGTGTACACATATTCGAACCCTCCTCTGATTCTGAAATATGAAGCCCTTCTGGTTCCAAGCATTTCAGACCCAGGTTATGAAACCGGTAGAATCAAACCCAATACCCTTAAGCTTCTGTATCAGAGCAGCATGTATAGGCAAGAACCGCATGTAGGTGGCGCAAGGCTGTTGACTCAAATTTCTAAGCACCCTGGAGCTAGTATCAAAAAATCTTGTTGAAAAACCACATCTTCTTTATGCAGTTTTTCTATAAAATGGAATACTACTCAGCCGTAAAGAATGAGAAATTAGACTCAGTCGTTGGAAAATGGGTACATATTGAGGATATACTCCAGTGAAATAA